AGAGAGAGAGAGACAGAGACAGAGACAGAGAAAGAGAGAGCATCAACTCTGTTCATCGTAGTCTGATAGATGAGAGAGAGAGGATAGAAGACCACCTCAAGCAGGTGTGTGTGTGTGTGTGTGTGTGTGTGTGTGTGTGTGTGTGTGTGTGTGTTTGTGTGTGTATTGTGTGAGCGTGTGTTCGTGTGTGCATGTGTGTGCGTGTGTTTGTGTGTATGTGTGTATGTGTGTATGTGTGAGTGTGTGTCTATGTGTATGTGTGTTTGTGCGTATGTGTCTGTATTCATTCGCTTGTGTGCGTATGTTTTGTCTTAAGCATTAAAGCCGCGAATCATCTTGATACTGAGTTTGATATCATTTTCCCCAAGCTAGCCTTTACTTTTGATCATTGGCGCGCGCTCATATGACCTATGCAGTTGCGAGCGCCGTAAAACACTTTACAAAAACAAAAACAAAGATAATTGGCGGATATCTTTATCTCTTTTGTCACAGGTGAAAGAAGAGAGACTGAAGACAGTCACTGAAAAAATCGCCGTGGAGGAAAAGACGAGAAATGGCAAAATGATTGACAGGTGAGCGAACTGAACTGGGCTCTCTTTTATTGTGTGGTGTGCATCTCTTTAGTCAAACAATACGCCATAAACTATACAGACTTCAACATAAGTTAAAGACCACCTTTACAGACAGTCCTGATTTTTAGAAATTCGAAAAAAAAGACAGCAAGGAATGTTTCAAATTGGTTTGCTCTGAAAGTGTTAATGGATTAACATTATAATGTGTACTGCAAAGCTTCCTAAAGGGGGAAACGCACCGCGTGCTGCTCGGAAGTCCTCGGGGAATTTCAGCCAAATTTGCAAGTGGCTCTTAACTTATGTTGAAGTCTGTATTACGGTATTGTACGTACGGATTTTGGATTAAAACACATGAAGAGACAGTTGTTTACAGCTTACAATTCTCATTAATACTTTATAACAGTCATTTACAGTTTAGAAAACTCCTATTTTTCCTTCTATAATAATCTCGTGCATTTTACTTCTTCTTCTTCTTCTTCTTCTTCTTCTTCCTTGTTCTCGATGAGAGCAGCTAGACAGAATTGTGTCGATAGTGCCGTAAAACATCTACTCAATCAATCAATCAGCTAGACAGTCAGTCCGATTTCGCACAGAAACTGTGCAGTCCGCTTCAAATCTGAGAGACTGCCATAGAGCTTTTTCTTGAGAGGAGTCCCATTCTGCCACGTCTGTGTACGAAGGGTGGCGTAGCGCGGACAGTGCTTAAGGATATGCTTGGCATCTCCTTGGTCGTGTCCACATTCGCAGATCGCGGACTCTCCCACTTTTAATTTAGTGTGCATATGGTGTTTAGGTCTGCTGTGGCCAGAACAGAGTCGAAAGATTGTGACCTGGTCTGCTCTATTTAGCATGTAGTAAGGGTCACTTCTGTTGCGATTAGGGTGGGATCTTTTCCATCTGTTCTGATGGCAGATTTTATGCATTTACAATATCGTCACTGTAGCAAGAATCCACCTAAGCCCAACTTTTAAAAAAAATCTTTTTTTAGAACCCTCCCAAAACACTGTCAAAGATGTACCTTTCAACATCATCAAAATTGTCTTGCTTTTCATGCATGGTTCATGAGAGGAACAGCATTAAAAAATCTAGGGTTTTTTTATCTCTGGTGTGAAAAAAATACTCAAACGGACTTACGTGAGAGCATGCAGCATCGACGGTATTTGATTGCTTTAAAGCACAAGGAGGCTATCCCAAAAAATGCTGCTTTGAGAAAATCGAAGGTAAAGTTTTTGCCCCTTGTTCAATTTCTTTAAAAGAAAGGAGAGTTTTCTCTATAACCAAACAAATTATACACTCCAGTGAAATCAAACTTCTCCTATAGGTAGGGCAATGCCCACTTTTGGTGTAGGTCGAGTTTTCTAGAAACCCTTGAGATCCGAGTTAGCCCCCTTGTCCTTAAAAGCGACCATTTATCACTGACATTCGGTCCGAAGATAGAGTAGCAGACCATCAACATAACTTCAAATCTTTAGCGTATCTCTCTCTCTCTCTCTCTCTCTCTCTCTCTCTC